ATAAGCGTCTTTTCAGAAAAGATTGATTCAAATTCGACTATACCAATCAGAATCTAGAATGTAAACAAATGCTAAAAAATCGTTATTTTCATGGTTTTTCAGCGCTATTTTCACTTATTTTTGTTATTTGACGCTATTTAGACGAATAAGCAAGTTTTCCAAAGCATAAAATTGAAGATTTCCCGCCAAAAGTTTCTATTTTGGCGTTAAAAGTTTCTATTATAAAATCGGGAACGTCATTCCCGATAACATCGGAAATGACGTTCAAACATCATTTTATTCTATTTGATTCTTCAAAAAATCGTTATAATACTATGTATTAGACTTAAAATATTCGATATCTAAACCAGAAAGTGTTAGCTAGAAATAGACTTATTTATAGAACAACTCCCCCATTTCTCACTTCAGGGAAAGTTATAAAACAGTTGGGTGCTAATGACTTTGTGAAAGGGAAAAGTTCTACACTTAGAAACTTGGAAAGAAGGGATTTGGCCTGTACCGTCGGGCGGGCCGCATAAACATTGATAAGGGGCCGTATGTGGCCCGCGGGCCGTAGGTTGTGCACCCCTGATTAATATTTCCAAATTGTTTATGATAACTTTATATGTGATGCAATGTATGAAAAGATACCTTAAATTGGAAAAATTAATTTTGTTGTAAAGCAAATGTGAGGATCCGAATCCTGACTTTTAGTATGTTTACATCATTTATTCATAACGTCACATTGTAACTATAATCTTGTTAATTAACTGTCAACTTTTACACCTGGGAGCAAAACATCTGTTAGGTTCTCAGGCCTGACAACGACACTTTCTCATCACCTCTTAACCTAATATCTCGATTTCATCTGTTCAATATAGAACAGAACAACAAAGTTAGGAGAGTTGTCACCGTTCCTTGGAGAGAGATAGTCGTCACCCAGCCCTCTAGCTAAAATCTTCATTATGTCTAAAATCCAAAGTCATTACATCCACGAAAATTGAACTTATTGAGTGCCTAAGTGGTGGATTACATCGAACATTCTGTCTTGGATTACCTTCATTGTCAACGGACTTACTAAGTGTCTTCTTAGGATTAAAATCGCTGAGTAGCATCATCATCTATTAACCTAACAACCACATATTTTACCAGGTATTTATCAGCACATGCTTTTATTGTAAACTTTCTCTCTCAAGGCCCACGGACTTTAAGTTAACTCCATCTAATATATATATAATATCAATCATAACCAATGTATTTAAATCTATCATATTCCACTTGATATATTGTATGTCCTGTATTACCCCTTTGTTATCTATTAAATAGCTGTTACATTAACTTTTCTCTGCGTAAGTCACTTCTGGTGCATTGTCTCTCCTTCCATCCCAAACCCGATTGCTCCATTACGTGACTGCTCGCGTGACCTAGTTAGGGCAGCTTCCATGTCAACTGAGACGCGGTGGTGTCATCGTGACAGGGCATCGAAGAGATGCCAACCCTTCGGTCGCACAAAGAACTGTGGTCAAAATTGTTCATTTTTAGATTTTATCATCAAAATGTTTCTAGTAACATTTGATGTTTACTATAAATGCACTCTTATATAGTCTATAGAATAAGATACACTCAAAAAATGAAAATTGAATTTTACAACTTAAAGTAGCTTTTTATAGTTTGCATCACATATACATACATGTAAAATATGTTTTTTATCTTTTTTTCTTATATTTTTTAATTAATATCAATAACAGAAATAAATCTGTAGATTTTATTTAATATTTAAACATTAAATAAAATCTACAGATTTATTTAATATTTAATTTAATCTATGGATTAAATTAAATTTAATATTCAAATAAAAACTTTTCCAAAACTCTTGATTATAATCTAAATTAATCTATTAAGTTAGAAAGATTTTTTTACTAAAACTTTTATAATGGAGTAAAATTATAAAATTATGATTTGCACTGATTATAGCATACAGTTTGTTTAGAAGAAATATAGAGTTATTTTACAATTTTTAATATTCTATTTTGTAGATGCAAATAGTCGAGTTAATTTAAGACATTGGCAATTAATGGCACTTGCATGCAGTGTGACATTTCCAGTTCAAAAATTGGTTTTAAATTATCTTCAATCACATTTAAGAAAATGTGCTATTGATGAAGTTACTGAAGAAGGGCAATATGCTCAGTTTTCTTTGAGGGTTTGTATTACAACTTATGAATTTTATATATAACTCATTTTTGATAAATAATTTGTTATGAAGATGCTTTACAGTAAATATTTTTTTAAAATTAGATATACATATATTCAGTATATATATATCATATTTTAATTAGATCTACACCAATCATATGTCTTAGAAATTACTATATTTTGTTAAATCTGAATAGATACATAATACACTGAATAAATATACATTTATAATACATGTTATTTATTAATTCAATATGTGAAAATTATAAGTTCATATTTTTGCTTAATTTGTTCTTTTGCTAAATATTTCTAAATTTCTTTATTAAATAGTCAATAAAATTTTATATATGTCTATCTGTATAATGATAAATTTATTTGATTATGAAGTTTGATTTCCAAAAATTTCAATTGAAAATTGTAATTCACTTATTTGGCATCTCTATTTAAAATACACTGCTGGCCAAGTAAAACGTAACACCTGCAATATCTAGAGCCCTACATGATATTGCATTTTACTTGGCCAGCAGTATAGAAAATCTTGCTTAAATTATGAAGCTGGATTCATTATCTGAAATGTATTATTCATTATAAATATAACTAATTGTGTTTTATAAAAGTATAATGGAATGAAGAAAATATGAAAGGAGTTTTAAAAATATCAGTAAAATTATACATTTGGATTGTAAAACTGCTTACATATTTACTGTTAAATTACCGTTTTATTGAAAAATTTAAAATTTAAGACTTTAATAGATAAAAAGAAAGAAAATTTTAATATATGTTAGCATTACAAAAATATTATTGTATTTTTATCTTAGAAAAATAAAATACAGTTTGATATTCTACTATGCCTATTCTAATAATGTATTGTTTGAATTTTATTATTATTTTTAAATGGAATTTTTCAGAATTGTAGGCAGTAATATTTTAAATCAGCAATTACTAAATATTATATCGATAGAATAACCTAACTTTTTATTTTAAATACATTTAACAACTATAAGGAACATAAATGACATAATAATACTGACAGAAGGTATTATTTCAGTGCCTTATTAGGACACTTGAGACAAGAGGACGTAAATGGCCACCGTCCAAACAAGAAATTGCTTGTACTATTAGTCGAAGACCTATTCATGCAAGAGTCCATTTCTTGGATGGACAGTTCCATGCAGTTGAATTTGATCCTTGTGCTATTATGTTTGAAGTAGGTTTCAATGAAAACTTTTCATGTTAATTTTTAAACTAAAAAAATAACAATTTATTATATAATTTCAAATAATTATTAATTAGGTTTTGGAAATGATAAAAATTAAAATAGATTTAAGACCGGGTGCTGAAGGTTATGCTCTTTATGAAGTTATTGGGGGTACAGGTATGATATTTCAAATATCATAAATATTTAATAAATTCAAAACTATTTTTCAAGAAAATTTTGTTATCCATCAGCAAAATCATTATTTATTTAATGTATTCTTTAGAGAGAGCTTTGCTACCAGATGAAAAAGTTGCAGATGCATTAGCAAAGTGGGAACGCTGGTTGCAAGGACAAAATAAATCATCATCATCACGAAAACATCAGTATTTTCTTTTCAAGGTAGGAAAAAATATATATATATTATATATAATTTTAAACTTGAAATTGAAATTGTTTTCAATAGAATTCTGCTTAATATTCTTAAATTTTTTTCTCTCTTGTCTCTGAAATATTTTAAATACTATTAATTGTTTAATGTCATCATTTATTTCCGATTAGAATTTATTCACTCATCAAAAAGGAATTTCAAAAACATGAAATAAATTTTGTTTAAAATCAATTCTGAGAAATTTCTAATTAGAGCATATCTATAAGGAAATATGAATTATAATTAAACATTAATACAATATTTGTAGATGAAAGTCAATTTATTAAATATTTATTATAGAGAAAATACAAAAAATAATTTGTAAAAGATTTTGATCTTTTTGATGAAAATACAAATTAAATTAATTTTTATAATCAAATTTTTTTTGTTAAAGATACAAACGAACAAAATATGTATTATTCAATTCTTTCAATTCCTTCTTGAAAATTTGTTTAGTTTCATTAATACTATTTGAAGGCAATGTGAAACAATACAATGTTGCTTTTAATAGTAATTTTAGAAAATTGTTCATAAAATATTTTTGAAAATAGTTTGATAACAATTTGTTTCCTATATATATTAACAAAATATTTTCATAGTTTTTAATTTAACTAATTACAAGGATAAATTTTATCATGGTGGTATAAAACAATTTATGTTCTGAACTTGATGCAGTTGGTATGAATTTATTTATTTATGTAAGGTATTATATTTAACCATGCTCCTTTTTTTTATGAATATAAAATGTATAAACTACTTATACAATTTAAATTGATTATTTTAAAATTTTTTCTTCATAAAATATCTTAAAATTGATTTCATACTTATAATACATCTTAGAATCAAAGAAATATGGTATGTCAGTAATAACAGATAAATAAATATATTTGAAAGTGCAGGCACTTCCCTATTTATGAACAAGTTAGGTTTGTGAGATTTTGTCGTAAGTCAAAAACTAACCTAGAAAGTACATTTGTACATGCAATAACCACATATTGTTAGTGTTTGATCCTTTTATATATTTAATAGAAAACACTATGCTCATTTATCTGCTTGCTACTGCTCAGTAGCAAATGTTTCAAACAGTTTTTTTTCCACCTAAAGCAATTAGTTTTATAATGTCCACTTTAGTTTCCACAGTCATAGAGGGACACTTTATGCATTTATCTCCACTGTTAGATTTATTATTACGTTTTGGATGAATCTTTGAAGCACTAATCGTAAAAGTTTATAAAAATTGCAAACAATAGTGAAAAAACACCATTACTCCAATGTTACCAGTTTCAATCTCACCTCACTAGCAGTGATGGAATGTCAGAATTCATGGGAAAACAAAAAATTGGCAATACACAATAATTAATTAATGTGGATTTATTTCTAAATAAATCCACATTAATTATTTATTAAAAATTCATTATTTATCACTGGCCAAAGACTGACTTCAACACCACCCCACAACCAGCAAGAGAACTATAGAATCCATGCAAAATTTAAATTTTAGACATATCTTCAAATTGTTAGTAAGTTGAATGTTTATAAGTAGAGGAGCTCCTGTATTTATTATTATGAAAAATAATAAATGCAAGTTTTATTTTAAATTAATACAAAATTATTTGTTGTCCTGGAAACAGAAAACAGTGTGTGTTTTTTGTCAGAATGTTGATAACTGACTCAAACAACATTAATTAGGCTACCATGCATTTTGGAATTTATAAATTTAATTCATTAGTTGAGACAAATGATGTCATGTTTAAATTATAACAAAACTCCATTTAATTTGGTATAAATAATTTAATTTGATATATGTGTAGAATTTTATATGTTTATAGAATGTTTATAGAATTTTTTGCAATACAATAGAGTCCCACAAACTCAACTTAATGTAGACTGAGAAAACGAAAATGATGAGTTTTATGGTTAGTGATGATGCTAGTCTAAATACAGAATTTTCATAAAGATGTTATATGTACAAATTCATATATGTATTAATACACACTTAATACATATATGAATAGTGACTATTTCTATTTGTAGTTAAATTTTAATTTAAAAAATATTGGCTACTTTTGAGTTGTGGCATTTTGCACAGGCATGTTGGAAAAAGGCTTATATTCTTTGTTAATGCATGGAATTGATGCTATTATTAAGTGAATAATGATAACTTATTTGATCTTAGTGTTAAGTTATACAGGTAAAAATTAGATTACAAGTATTTTTTTAATGACACGACGAGTCTTACAGAATGTTGAGTTATTGAGAGTCAAGTTTCTGGGACTATATTAAAGTATATTTAATTATAGAGAGGATTTATAAGTTATAAATCCTCTCTATAATGAAATGAATCAGTGCTTGAATTGAATTTGGTTCATACTACTAATATTTCAGTAAAGTTCTTGAATAAGCTCAGTTTAATTTTGGTGAAGTTAACAATAATAGTTCTTGCTAAATCCATGGCATACATCCACATCCCACTTACTTAAAGTCTACATTGTGCATCATGTGATTCATTCGAAAACATTCTACATTTCAAAATCAAATATTGATTGATTTTGTAGATTTCTTAATATAGAATCCTGACAGATCTAAAGTCTAAAGACAATATTTAAATAAAGCAGTCATTTTCATTACAGTTTCAAATTATTTACAGTAGAGCATCGATTATCCGAAAGTCAATCATCCGAAAGAATTCCAGTCGACAAATTTAAATTTTCGCCAGTGCTGTGGTGCTACAATCTTTGGCTATATCTTGGGCTACTCAAATATTTTGCGTTTTTGATACTGAATTAACTTCTGAAGTATAATTTTTTATTGTTTTTATATTTTTCAATATATTTATTTTGTTTGTACAAAATAAAAAAATAATTTTTAACCATACAATAGTCTTCGTTATGCTTAACATCGACGAAAATTCAAGAAAAATGTCAAGATTGGATAAATTAATATATTTTTTCATACATAATCGGTTATCCCAGTCCCCAATTGATTCGGATAATCGGCGCTCTACTGTATTTATAAATTACAGTAAAACCTCATTATTTCAAAACTCAAGAGACTGAAAAATATAACTGAATTATCCAAACTTTTTTCAAATCAAATTTTTTTTGTAATTCTCAAATAAAATTATGGCATGATCTTACATAATTTCACCTGTTCGGTTACAAATCCGTTACCATTACAAGTCATTACTTAGTAATTTAAGCTATTTCGAAAAAACTGTCAGTTGGTGTGTATTTAATGAAAACAATGAAAATGTAATGAAACTACTTTCAAAATAACACCTGAAAATAATGTATGAAAGAAGCTTAAGTGCTTCAATAAGAATTTCCTACAAATATCATCTAGAGCAGTGGTGCACAAACTGTTTTCATTTCCAACCACCCATTTTGTGTAAAATTTTGTTGTGACCCATGGACAGTAGATGTTTTTTAATTGTCAACTCAGTTAAAGTGAAATTCTTTCTGGGGTTTGCTCTTATGTTTCTGCCTTAGTAGAGGTCTGAATAAAACACAATTTTATGAAACAATGGTTTTATTTATGCATATACTTGATGAAGAAAAGCCTTATATTTTTTATTGTCAAATAAATTTCTTTGAATATTGCAACTCTGAAAAATTTTCTCACGATCCATGGTTTGTACACCACTGATCTAGAGGACCAATGACTAGTTCTATGAAGAATTCACTGTATTGAGTTCAAGATTACAAAAATCATGTGATCTGATGGAAACAAGCTCTATTAATGGCTAAAGCTATTTTATGCATTCTATCGTGAAATGCATGTATATTTAATCAACTTTGGATTTATTGATATTGTTTCTGCAAAAAATGTCCAAAATAATTAAATGCCAAGCAGATTTCTTCCATAAAAATAAAAAAATTCTCTCTTCGTTGGCAACATGTACAATGTCCAAATGACCTTGAGCAGAGGTCCAATAAATCAACAATGTGTAATTGCTAAACAAAACGAAACTGCCACTTGACTTGGGTGTGGAACTTTTCTTAAGAACATGTAATACAATGGAAGGCTTTGAAATAAATTATATTTTTGTGGGTCACCAGACCAGATTATGACTTTAAATTTCATTGTATGCATATTTCGAACAATCCAAACCAAAATATATGCATAATCCTATTCTCTTGGCTGAGGACTAGACTTAATTTCAAATTACATGATACTTTGAACTATCCAATAATGAGGTTTTACTGTATATTTTTAAAAAATGTAAAACAAAAGATTAATGATTATTAATTGAAAATAAAATATTTGTAGAAACATCTGTTTCTGGATGCTTATATTGATATGAAAGATCCTGTTGAAAAAGAATTGTTATATCATCAAATTGTTCATAATATAAGACATGATCGTTTCCCTGTAACAGAACAAGAAGCAGTAAGTTATTTTGAAAATAAAAATTTGAATTAAAATTCTAATTTTTAATGGATATAATTTTTTTAAAGGTTATGCTTTGTGCTTTAACTGGACAGCAGGAATATGGTGATTGTCAACAAGGACAATGTGACTATAAGTAAGTCTCTAATATTTTGATTAAGAAAGTTTCATAGAATGAAGAATAATAAATTATTATTATTTCCTTTAAGAAATATAATGGCACGTTGTCTTCCTCCTCGGCTTCTTGTCTCAATTTCTCCAGAAGATGTAGAAATCCAACACCGAATTCTCGCTGGTATGGATGTAAACCAGAGCAAGCAAGGTTTCTTAGCCCTTGTTCAGTCCTGGCCTCTTCATAGAGCCACCATCTTTGAGGTTATGGTAATGTAAACTTTTTGAACATGTTAATGTCAGCAAGGCAATATCAACAAAAAAACCAGTCAAGATTTTATTCTCACTGTCTGAAATCAAAGACATAGAACTACTGTTTTAAACAGACCAAAGAAAATTTAATATGCACATTTACTTTCAGTTATTTATGTTTAATGTCATGTTTATAAGTATGTTTAGTATGATTAAGAAATTGATATATTATTTTATTATTTTTAGTTTAATATTTTATCATCATAAGATTAATTTTTGTTAATTATAAGATTAAATTTATTTTTTTATATAATTTATTATTTTTTGCATAGAAAATTGTGGTTCCTTATTTCCATATTGTAATCTCATTATTTAATTTCAAATATTTACTTAAATTTGATTTTATTGTATTTAATTTTTAACTGTTTTTATGATTGAATTTTACAAATTTTTATCTTTTTATTATGAGAAAATATATGTTATTACACCATATATATATTTATTCACATTAAAAGTTTTTTCTGAAAACACACACACAAATTACAGCAAGGAAAAAGGAGCCACAAGATTGGGTGCAAAGCTGAAATTAATTGAAATTATTAAACATTTTATTCACAAGTGCAATCATTCCTTTGTATCGTTACAGCAGTCCTATACATCATCTTGGCCAAAGAGCTTATGGCTTGCTGTTGATCAAGTTGGAATTCATCTCTTGGAATTAAGAACAAGGGTAACAATATCAATTAAAAATCATCCAATAAATCTCATTAATTCAAAAATGAGAAAAAATTAATTTCGAATAAATATCTTATTTTTGAATTTTATATTATGATTCACCATATGGAATAATTTGATATCAACTAAATTAAAACAACAAATTATTATATTTGCATCCAAAATAACTGTTTATATATAGAAGAAATTAAAGTATAAAGATTGTAAAAAAGTTTTTAATATATAACTCAACAAAAAACAATGCTGTTTTTTTTAATAAGTCATTGTAAAATTTTAATATTGTTGGGATGATTTTAATTCTAAACTCACTTCAACATTTTCAGAAGAATATGTTTTAAGATACTTTCTTTTGAAAATGTTGAAAGAAATATTGTTGTTTTTAAGAAATTTAAAAAAGATTTATAAAAAAATGATGTCAACAGTTATTTTATCTTTGGATTAAAACCTATAAAGAATTTATTAATAAAGAAGAATATTCTCCATTTAGTTTTGTAATAAAATCTTAAATAAACCTGTTTATAATTTTGTATTTAGAAAATTCCAAACAGGCTCATAAGTTTTCTTGTACAGAATAATAATACTAGTTTAATGGAAATTTTTTATAATTTATACATCTAATCAAATAGTTTTCTTTGATATTTTTATAATTGCAATATGATGATTAGAATTCTATACTAATTACACTGTCTAATCAAACATCTAAATCAGTGGTTCCTAACCTGGTGTGTATGCACCTTCTGATGGAACAAGTTGAATTTTCTGAATTTACCAATTTGAAATCATATATTTTAACTCATATTAATTAAAATGTAGTAATAATGAAAACAATTTTTATCATGCATTTCCAGAATGTCCTATGTACATGTGAATATGAAACAATTGTAAACTATAGTCCTTCCTTAAATAGTTTGATGATTGTTACTGGAACAGGTCGAAAAGGATCAAAATATATTTTCTCAACTAGTCAGGTAAAAGTTAATGTTATAATATTATGCAACTAACATAACTATTTTATATTAAAAATTGTTATTTTTTACAGGCTACTCAAATTGCCCACTTAATTCGAGATTATACAAATGTTATTGTTATGAAAAGGAAGCCAGTAGAAGTTGCCAGAAGGAGACGAACACAGGAATTAACAATGGAACAAAATAATCATCATGCTACCAGACCAGTCAGCATTTTGTATAAACCACCACCTCAACTAATAACCCATGAACCAGTGTGAATCACACTTAAGTTGCCTGAGTGCCTTGTGTGTACGACAAATTAGTGCGCTGATAACATGGGGCATTTGTATATAGTAGCGCTTCAGTTGTAACTCCTGTATCAATGGTGTCGATTGGATATATATTATATCCTAAATGTCAAAGAATGGGAGAAAATTTTCAATTTGTCCCATGCATTGTTTGATAGAAATTTAATTGCGTCATTTATTTGACTGGAATGAAAAAAAAAAAAAAAAAACAATAAAGGAAAGACTAACTATATTAAATAAGAGTTGCTGAATGATGTCAGTGCATCTTTTCTTCAAAACTGCCAATTTTTTTTACTTTATGAGAAAATATATTCTCCAATACTTAAAATCATTGACGGTAGGAGAATTTCTGAATCCAAATTAATATAAGTGATGAAATGATCAGAGGTAAAATTTTATGATCATAGAAAAATTAAGGGATGCAAAAATGTATGAAATATGTTGCACCATTGTTGTGCCATGCTCATCTTGGTCTTTATTTTACTTTAAGAAATTTTAAGTAACTTAATAATTGTTTTGATTAAAGTATTATTGTTTACAAATAGTTTTTATATATCAAGTAAAATGTAATTATATGAATATATTGATTATTTCTATTCATAAGATCTCATTTTTAATATAATTTTGAAGGATAGAGATATCCATATCTGTGATTTTTTATTGTTTTAAACCATAAACTTATAGCTTAATATCATTAAATTATTCATTTTGTGAATATTTCATGAAGAATATTTATTTCTCCTTGGTGCTTTTTGAGAAAAAATTGAGATTATAAAATATTTGTACAGAAAATTGAGTACTTTACCAATTGGGTGCTGTTTGTGCCATACATTTAATACTGTTTGTACCCAATTGCTTTGTCAAAAAATTGATTTTAAATAAATTATGATCTTCCAAAAAGTTTTTGGTTGAAGAAATTTATTGTTTATACTTTGATATAATTGACAATTGAATCAACATGAACTGCACAAATAATTAAGGATAAAGTTTTTAATGACATTGGATAAATTAATTTAAAAGCAATTTGTATTTGAATGTAAAATAGTCAAATGCTAATATTGAATTATGTTTGGTTCATTGTACATTGTCTTCCATTTCTGGATAATTATATTAATATTTATTGCCAGAATGTGACTATGTTCTACATGAATACCATTCTGTATGCCATAAAAGTGTTTATTAAAATATAATAATTAAAAACCCAAAGAAATTTCATTAATTCATAAGAAGACTTTAATTTATAAATACTTCTTATTTTCAACATTTTTGCCATATGTTAATAGACAAAAAGGATTACTGTAATTTGATTTGTTAACTTTCATAACTTAAAATAAGTGAATAAATAATTAATATTAATAAAGAAAGTGCCAAAAAATTTCAAAGCATTAAATATCTTTCAATCAAAATTAAATAGCAAGTAAAAATTATTTATTTTTCCTTCTTAGGATGATTTTCCATATTGTCAGAGTTTATTCTGTCCACCCAAATTAAGAGATAGACAAAGATTTTTTAACCTTTAGTTTCCATTTCTGTACCTCCAATCATCTCCTACATTCCTTTCCTTGAATCCATCCATCTGAAATATGTATCTAGATCTTCCTTCTTTTTTTATTTCTGTAGCATCTATTTCACAATTTTTTATGGTATTGTCTTATTCTCTCAACATATCCATTCCATATCTGCCCTCAATAATTTTTCTTCCACTTTTTGTATAATTGTATGTTGAATTTGCATTATTTCTCCAATAGTTTTATTTTTTGTAAGCTGGATATATTTGCTTATCTCTTTCAATAACCGATTTCTATTTCATAGTAATTTTCTTTTATATCTTTTTGTTTACAATTATATTTTTATTCCTTAATTAATACTGAGTTCATTATGCTCATCACTCTTTCATATTTTTTCCATTTCTTCTATATTGGTACCATCTGTTTGTATAATTGAATCTAGATACTTAGAAACTATTACTCCTTTTATTCTATATCCTTCAATTTTCAGTTTTTGTCCCATCTTATTATACATATATTCTGTTTTACTAAAACAAATATTCATCCCTCATTTTTTACACACCTGTTAACTCTTAAATACATAATATACTATTTCATCTTGTTCAATTATTACCTGATTGCCTGCAAATAGCAAGAAACAAAAGTACCGTGTTTCCCCGAAAATAAGACAGTGTCTTATATTAATTTTTGCTCTGAAAAATACGTTAGGTCTTATTTTCAGGGAATGTCTTATTTTTTCCAGGAAGAAGTCACATTTATTATTGAACAAAAAAATTCCCAAGTCGAACTTAGACGAGAGTGACGTATATCCGGTGTGTTGAACTGTCACCTTTTTATAGCGTCAACATCGGACTCGATGACCAATTAGTGCTTACTGAACAGTAGCACTATGCAAATGTCATGTGGCGTGATTCCCGGCCGACCAATTAGCCATCACCAGCCGTAACGTTATGTAAATCTGTGATTCCCAAGCCATAGTCTTATGCAAATCATGCTGTGTGGCGTAATTGTCTGCTGACCAATCAGTGGCTGTACTTTCAAAAAGCCAACGGCCACTTTCAACCAT